TTGCTTTGAAGCCTTGTTGCTTTTGGGTGTCACTTTTGATAAATGTTTTTCACTGTTGCAGTTACTGTTCAAAAGATTAGTAAGAATATAGCTGGGAAGACTTCATGTACAGTAAAGGCCAACGTATTAAGTGCTAAATTTTGTGAATTTGAACTTGGAGGAAAGAAAATGAAGGCTGCGAGAGCAGGGGAAGTTTTTCAAGGGGGTGGGGGGTCGGTAGCCTTGAAGGAGAGTGTGAATAGAGTGACAGGCCCAAAGGCCAGGAACGCATGCCCAGGCGCCTAGAGCTCTGTGTGCAGAAGGTGCGTGTGTAGGAGGGCCCAGGATGGTGAGCCGTCTCTTCTCACCGTGGAAAAGAACCGAAACTGGCATTTATACTTACACATCCACACGTTCTGGGTACCAGTGGGAGTGGCTGTGCGTTCTCACTGTTCTCCTTGGGCCTGTGTGCTTTGTAGCTACGTCACACATCTGATGAAGCGGATCCAGAGAGGCCCAGTGAGAGGTATCTCCATCAAGCTGCAGGAGGAGGAGAGAGAGAGGAGAGATAACTATGTCCCAGAGGTAAACTTTCTGGGTCTTGGGGCCTCTTGCTCGCTCTCAAATGACAAAGCAGTGGGTTCCTGAGGCCGCTTTGAGGTTCTTGTCTTCCAGAGGGACCTCAGCTGAACCTGAGGTCGTCTTCTAGCCACACACCCCTTCACCAACTCCAGGTCCCTATAATCCGCCCACCTGTTAAGCTCAATTCTGCTCTCTCGGGGCCTGTTAAATAGTCCATTCCATTTTTCACGAGAGCCTTTCATGACGTTTGTTTGATAACTGCTATCATGCCTTCTCGTTTATTTGCCCTGATGTAGTATTCCGGAAGCCTAGTCTTAATCTAGTCTTAAGGTTTTCTGAACACTGAATAGATAAATAATGGGGACATGGGAAGGTAAAACCAGAGAACAGGTCATTGGGACCTCTGTTACTGTAGCAGACTGTTCACCTTGTGGGGTCCTGTTCCACTCCACCCTGTTTTTCTGTCTGCTTACGTAAGAATCTGGGAGAAGCGAAAGTGAGAGAGCTCATTCATTGATCATTTGGGCCTATCTCTTCTCCTTTTAGGTCTCAGCTCTGGATCAGGAGATCATCGAAGTAGATCCTGACACTAAGGAGATGCTGAAACTTTTGGTAAGTGTCTGCTGGATTCCTAAAGTGGGCCATCCTTGGTCAGGAACCATCGGGAGTTTTCTGTTAATTTTGATAAGCTAACTTTTATCAAATCCAAGGTTACATAGCTAGTAAATAGCAGAATTGGGAATCCCATCTACACTTCTTGCCACTAAATTGGACTGCTTTCCGAACGGGGCTAGCTGGTTATTGAAAGTTGGATGTGTTGAGTTTGCTGCACAAGATCATAATTCCCAAACCTAGTGGCCTCCTCTCTGGTTTTCTCTCTAGGTTCAATGGTTGGCTTGCATTGACCCCTTTGTTTCAGCCCTGGTTCTTCATTTTGCCTGCTTTCCCTTGGAGAATTCTTTGCTTGTAGACACAAAAGTTTCTATGCAAACCACTCAGGAAAGAGCTGTAGTCTCATTTCCACATAACATGCCAGGCAGTATTCAGACAGTTCGCAGGTATCAATGCACTTTGATGTGTTTCTCTTATGTGGCTTATTTTAGTCCTTTTACATTGTTTGGTGAAATTAGTATAGGCTTCAAAGTCTGCAGGCTGTTGGTAATTTTGAACAACTTCCCATTTTTCCTTTTTTTTTTATGGTCATTAAATGTTTAGGATGTTCAAAAAGATGATAAAGAACAAAATGAACTCCATGTACCTTCCACCTAGCTTCAGAAGAACATCCGTACAGCAAACACCTGCTGAGTCTTTTCCTCCTGAAATAACCACTGTCCTGAATGCAGCTTTTTAATTTGAACTGTAAAATGGGTTTCTGAGACTCGAATAGGACATTAAGTTCTAGGCACACAGTGGGCCCTTCGGCTCTTCTTCCCACTCACTAGCCTGAGCTTGCTTGGGCAGGCCCAGCTCTCATCCTCCACTGTGCTCCGGCCCTTCACAAGTGTCAGTGGGTTAGTGATAACTCTGATCTGGAAAGGAAGAGGCACTGTATGTTCCCCCAGGGGCAGACTTTTGCCACAGGATATATTTGGCAATGTCCAGGCACGGTTTTGGTTGTCACAGCTGGTGGGGATCATCCTAGCTGACATCTGGGTAGAGGCCAGAAGTTGTGCTAAGCTTTATACATTGCACAGGACACCCCTGTATAGAACAAAGACTGTCCAGCCCAGAATGTCGGTAGTGCCAAGATGGAGAAATCCTGCTTTAGAGCCCTATGAAGGGGATCTGAGAACAAGGAGAGAAACAGCATGGCAGAATGGGGAAAAGTCACAGAGGGTGGTGTAAGTGGGGTGCCCTGTGGTCAGCTGTGTGTTGAAAGATCAATCCTGAGAAAGTGGGAGGCATCGATGCACGGAAGGCCCCTGGTGGCTGGCAGTGGAGTGAGGGGCCCTTCAGGTCTCCGCTGGACGCCCTTGAGAGGAGGAAGCCTATGTTTTCTGCTGGGCCCCACCAGCCTTGCCCAAGCTGGTGGAGGCTGGCAAGCATGGCCTGGCAGTGGCACTGGGGCTCTGACCATAGACCTCACCAATATGCTGCTCACACTGAATCCATTTTGTTGTTCCAGGACTTTGGCAGTCTGTCCAACCTGCAGGTCACTCAGCCTACAGTTGGGATGAATTTCAAAACACCACGTGGAGCCGTTTGAATCTTCTCTGTGCTGTAATATTTTAATAAACTTGGGACTGCAGCCTTGCCTGTGTCATCTGTGCGGTTGGCTGTGGTGGAGCTAAGGGCAGCAGTTCTCTCTGAAGGGGACAAGTTTAGCTGACTGGCTCTCCTGGCAGTTGCCTGGGGTTTGGGGGATCTACTTTGTGTGGTCCGTGGGGAGTGGGTTCAGCTGAGTCAGGAGAGGAGCAAAGGCCTTGCCCAGTGAGCTGGATCCCAGCACCGAGGACAGCCTGGGCATGTGTCTGGAGAAAGCAAGTGTGAGCCCAGAAAGCTGCTCTGCTGCCACCTCCACCCTGGGTTTGCAGGGTCTTTGCTCTTCAGCCTCTGGTGGCTGCCCACAGTTTGGGCCAACCTGCCTGCCTTTATGGGTAGCAGCAGGGTGATTGTGTGGGGGTTGGGCTTTGTCAGTGGGAGGTGGGGCAGGTGGTGTCTTTGTAGCTGTCCAGTGTTGAGCCCAGTCCTTCAGGCACAGGAAGGAGATTGTCAACAATTGGAGTGGATGTGTGAGGATCCATGCTGGAATGTTCCAGCCATTTGCAGCGGGAGGCAGAGCTCACTCGCTGCAGCCGGGGCGGCTTGGCTGGGGCTGGGCCGGGCTGGGCCGGGCTGGTGCCTGATCTGGAGTGAGGAAAGGTCAGGGCTCCTCGTCTGTCCAGTTGGTCCAGTTGTGGGCCCAGGTGGAGACGAGTCTGTGGGTCCAAGATCACGTGGCCGGAAGTGGCAAAGCTGAGGTTTGAACACGGGTCAGGGTGGCTGCAAAGCTCCAGCCCTTTGCTGCTACTTGCGTACCTGCTGCTGCGAGCAGATGTGTGCAGCAGGCAATTTTTGAATGCGTTTTTTAAGTTGATTTTGGTAAGGATTTTAAACTCACAGAAAAGTTGCAAGAATAGTACAAGGAACTCCCACATACTCAACCCAGATTTGCTGGTTGCTCGTATTTTGTCCCAATCGCTTTGCTTTATCGTGTTCTCCCCCACATACACAGGAACACATTTTTTCTGACCCGTTTCCCAGTAAGTTGGAGATGGGCCCATGTGCCCTCAATATGTCAGTGTCTTATAAGAACAAAACCTTTTTTTTTAAGTAACCATAGTATAGTGATCGAAATCAGGAGTTCAGTAATTGTCACAATACTGTATAACTTACAGTCTGTGATCACCGCAGTGACGTCCCTCTGGCTGGCTGGCCCAGCGTCGCTTACCGCATGTAGTTTTCACGTCCCTTCAGCCTCCTTTTGTTACTTGGAGGTCAAAATTTGAAAAGTATTGGCCAATTATTTTGTAGACTGTCCTAACATTTGGGCTTGTTTGATGTTTCCTTCAATTAGATTTAATGTACCTTTTTCAGCAGGAACACCGGAGAAGCAGGGCTGTGTTCCTGGCATGCCGACAGGCAGGGAATTCCAGCTCGTCACGTTCTTTAATGACGTTTATTTTGAGCCCTTGGATGAAAGTGCTCGTCAGGTTTCTCCACTGTGAACTTCCCCTTCGTAATTAGTTAACTGTGAGGAGACATTTCAAAGCTAAATGTCCTGTTCCTCGTGATCTTTTTGCCCACTAGCTTTAGCGTCCGCTGAAGGTGCTCTGACAGCATCCTTCCTTCGTGTTTACGCGTCAGTATTCTGTAAGGAAGAGCTTTCTCCCTCGTTGATTCACAGCGAACTTCCGTTTACAGTTTTTGGTGTGGGGTCAGGCGTTGTCAGCAAATTCTCTTGCCTTCTAAATACAGCTCTGCATAAAGAAACTTCTCCCCGCCCCCTAGGTCTTTGGTGTCAACGCTGAGGTAGGATTGGGCTTTGTGTATGGGGGAAAAGTCAGAGCTGGATCGAGAAAATCACCAATATGATGAAACCAGTAAGTGGGCGGTTTGCTGTGATGCTTTCCACACTCTTCCGCTGGGAGGCAGTGTCACCGTGGTTCTCATCTTGCTGGCTCACCCACCTCAGACCTCAGGCAGTAGGTAAGTTTTAGGTGAGAGGTGGAGAGGTTTGGGGGGAGAAGGAAGAGGACGGGCGCTGCACTGGGGCTCCAGCTGGCTTGAGTAACTAATCCTCGTGCTCATCAGAGCTACCTGTGAACGCCATTAAAGGCAGGTGGCCAGGCCCCGCCCCTGCAAACCCTCCCCCCCCACCGCCCCCGGGGGACTGATGTGCTTCCGGATGGGGCGGGCCAGACAGGTGTTCCCACAGAGCTCCCCAGGCCGGTGGACCGGGTTTGCCCTCCGTGCTGTCTCCCCTGGATTCCTTGGGCCAGAGTATTTTATGCTCTTGGTATAAAATAGACTGGACGGTCTTGTGCCTTCTGTGTCAGGGATACAACGCTCACTGAAGATTTGAAAGTACTCCCAGAAACTTTTGGAGGTAATTTGTTTTTCTATGTGGTTCTTTGGTATTTTCAACAAAAGTGAAGTAAAGTAATTCTCGTGCAAATAGAAATAAAATGAACATGTTAAAGGTTTTTTTTTTTAACTCAACGAGGTAACTTGCGATGTTACAATCAGTTCAAAGAAGCCAAAGAAGGACAAATTTATTTGGAGTAAAGGAATGTTGAACTTACAAATGGACACAAAACTGGCTTCTTCTGCAGTAAGGAAAAGTCAACTGAAACCTGTCCCTAACCATTTTATTGGCGTTTCTCTAGACAAGCGTTTTTTGCATGCTCTCAGGTGTCTGCAACTGAGTGTTGTAAGATAGCCAGAAGGCGATGAGAGGTTCAGAGCTGCTATGGAATCCAAATCAGAACCCAGCTGATTGTGCTTAACCACAAACTTCCCCCATAGCTGTAAATTGGTAGTTATTCCCTGTATTGCCAATGTCATCAGGATTTTCAGTTTGATTGATATGTAATACCAGTAGTTTTCTCTTGCGGTTAGGAAAACTCCACATCTGTTTTTATGTCTCATTTTTAACGTTACGCTTTCTTTCTTTTCTGAATTAAACTTGTCAGATGTTTGACTTTTTTTGATAGTTTCAAAGAACCAGCACTTGGAGTTCTCCCGTCTCCTTTCTCTCCCTCCATTCCTTCCCATCTCCCTTCCTCTCTGCCTTTGCTCTTCCTCATTAGAACAGGTGAGGAACGTGAATAATGCTCACTTTCTCCTGGTCAGCTGCAGGGTTTGGCAGACTATGGCCCTTGCCTGTGAGCCATGAACTGAGAATGGCTTTTATATTTCTGAATGTTTAAAAAATGAAGAATGTGACCTGTGAAAATTACAGGAAATTCAAATTTCAGTGTCCATAAAATTGTATTGAAACCCAGCCCTGCTCATGTGCGTACATACTGCGTGCGCATGGCTGTTTTATGCTACAGTGGCTGAATAAGCAGTGTGGCACTGCTTTGTGCTACAGATCTCAGTGACACAGTTAATAACTTGCAAATGCCATGCCTATGACCATATCGTGACTTTTTAAAAAGATGATTGATGCATACTCATGTGAATAAAAGAAAACACCTGGGCTTCAGATGTTGGCGCTTATGTGAGTGGCTCATTTGTTAGCCAGGCAGGAAAAGCCATTGACCAGTGCTGTGTTAGTTTCTCTGGAAGAAATACATCCAGATAAATAAACTCGTTTGAAGACTGAGCCACTGGGGAACGGTCGCCTGAAGGGTTGAGGTTGTAAGGGGGCAGTATCAGTAGCCAATGAGGAAATAAAGCAGGTGGCTGTACCTGGTTTCTCTTGGCTCTTGATGAGCCGAGAGATGTCACCAACACTGCTCAAGGGGTCAGTGCCAAGTGTGAAGACGCTGAGAATTGGCCTCTGTGAATAGTCCATGTGGAACAACTACGGGTGAGAATATTTTTGAAGAAGATTAGAAATCACTAACTCAGTATAACCTGAAGTAGGAATCCGCTGAGCTGTGGTACAGGTGATGGTAGTAAGAACTGTGGATGGCCAGGTGCGGCGGCCTGTAACCCCAGCACTCTGGGAAGCTGAGGAGGAAGGATCGCATGAGGCCAGGAGTTCAAGAACAGCCTGAGCAAGAGTGAGACCCCCGTCTCTATCAAAAATAGAAAAACTAGCCAGGCATGGTGGCACACACCTGTAGTCCCAGCTACTTGGGAGGCTGAGGCAGGAGGATTGCTCAAACTCAGGAGGCTGAGGTTGCTGTGAGCTATGATGATGCCACTGCACTCTGGCCTGGGCAACAGAGTGAGACCCTATCAAAAAAAAAAAAAGAAATACAACTGATTTATATCTTTTGTTCTTGTATCCTGCAACCTTGCTACATTTGTTTATTCACACTAATTGTGTGTGTATTTCTTAGGACTTTTAATATACAACATCATGTTATCTGCAAATACAGATAGTTTTGTTTTTTAGAGATAAGGGTCTTGCGACATTGCCCAGGCTGGAGTGTAGTGACTATTCACAGGTGCGATTGTGAGGCACTGCAGCCTTGAACTCCTGGGTTTAAGTGATTCTTTGCCTCCCAAGTATCTTGGACTACAGGTGTGTACCACTGTGCCCAGTTCAAATACAGATAGTTTTAATTTTTCCTTTCCAATCTGATGCATTTTATTTCATTCTTTCGCCTAATTGCTTTGGTGAACACCTCCAGTACAATACTGAATAGAAATGATGAGTGTGGATATCCTTGTTGTATTACTGATCTTGGGGGGAAAGTTTTCAGTCTTTCACCATTAAGTATGAAGTTAGCCATGGGCTTTTTGTAGCTTCCCTTTATCAGGTTGAGGAAGTTCCCTTCTATTCTAGCCTATTGAGTATTTTAATCATGAAAGAGCAAATTTTGTCAAATGCCTTTCCTGTGTTTGTTGAGATAACCATGTGGTTCTGGATTCTGTCAGTATGGTGTATGACACTGATTTTTGTGTGTTGAACTGATCTTGCATGTCTGAGTCCCACTTGGCTGTGATGTACAATCACGTTTATGTGTTGCTGCATTCGGTTTGCTAGTATATTATATGGGATTTTTAATGTACACATTCATAAGAAAGATTGGGCTGTAGTTTTCTTGTGATATCACAGTCTAGTTTTGGTATCAGGGTAATATTGGCCTTACA